GGGGGGGGCTCCGCAACTTACCTGGCTGCTTCTTGCTCTGACTGAGGGCTGCTGGGAGCAGGGGGTGGGGCTTGTTGCATGTGCCCGCCCCCTGGGCTCTTTACTGCCGGAGCTCCGCTCCTGTGCGCTCCTGCAGGAAATGACCCCTGGTATTTAGTTTAATTGTATTTTAAACAAAATTTGTCACTTTGGGGGCATTCTGGGATGCCAGGAATGATATACTCCCTTGAACATCATTCACATATGATTATAATTTGTGTAGCAATGCTAGTTTAAAGTATTAATTTATCACAATGGCTACTATTTCATCGTTTCACAACAGTTACTTCTTGCACTTTTGCTGATTTCAACAGGGCTTGCCCAAGAGAACTGTCTGCAGAAGTGTGCCCCATGGGTCCGATCAGGCCCCATCCCACTCTGCTGCCCCAAACGACAACCCCAGCCTTTAGGCAAGCACCTCACCTGGCTTCAGGATAAGGCCTTCCTTGCCCCCCCCCCGCCTGAGCACCCTATTCCCTCTTCAATCTGTTGTGCATGGGCCAAGAGTTAATTTGTGAAATGCTCCTGAGCTGGTACAGAGTGCCTTTGCTTCCCTGTTGAATAGTTGTACAGAGTCTCCATATATCAGGGACTGGGAAGGATGTGAAATGCACATTTCCTTTTGTAAACAATGTATCTCTTTCCTCTCACTCTTATTCTCCACTGATTGTTTTTTCATAAGCAAATAAGAAGAGAAATTCTCCAGGCAAACCTGTTTTAGTTATGTTAGTCACGCTAAAGAAAGGAATGGCTCACTCCTAAACACCAGATGCTCGGGCATTCACTGATAGTGTCAGAGCACCAGGGTAGCTGGTCAGTATCCTGTGCTCTCTCAGTAGATAAAAGAAATGCCCCTAAAGACCCAGCTCTAAGGAACTGAGAGCATCCCAACAGTAGTGGCAACCATAGCAACACCACCAGCACCAGAGCCAGTTTGGTGTAGTCATTAAGAGCGCAGACTCTAATCTGGAAGAACCGGATTTGATTCCCCACTCCTTCACATGGAGCCAGCTGGGTGACCTTGGGTCAGTCACAAGTTCTCTCAGAGCTGTTCTCTCAAGGGCAGTTTTCGAGAGAGCTCTCTCAGCCCCACCTACCTCACAGGGTGTCTGTTGTGGGGAGGGGAAGGGGCTTGTAAGCCACTCTGAGACTCCGAGTGAAGGGTGGGGTATAAATCCAATCTCTTCTCTCCTTTCTTCTTCTTCACCCACCAGTCACAGACCAGCATACCGATTATGCCCTCATGCCAGCCGTATGTGGAAGCAGCCCATCAGTGCATAACAATGCCAGTATACCTCTCTGATGCCTCCCTGCCCCCCCCATGGAACTCAACACAGGAAAGAACATAGGAAACACATGCTCCTCTACTATACAAAGGCCTGTGACATGATCAGTAAGGCAAGAAGGTTTAGGAGACTGACTAAGCCCTGTTCCTCCCCAGTGGCACTCATTTCTGGCACCTATGGACTGGAGCCACACTGGTGCCAGGGGGTATACAGCAGCATGGCATTGGCAGGGAACTATGATGGCAGACCTTTAAATACACCAGTGTACCTCTGAATTATGCTGGCCTATCCCCAAATTATTGGAGCTGCGGTGGCTAAAGTGGTTAAGACGCTGAACTGCAGGCTGTGGAAGGTCGGTAGTTCAGCGGTTCAAGACCCGGGTGCCGCAAGACAGGGTGAGCTCCTGTCTCTAGTTCCAGCTCCTGCCAACCTAGCAGTTCGAAAGCAAGAAATTGCAAGTAGATAAATAGGGACCACTTCGGTGGGAAGGTAACAGCGTTCCGTGCACCTTGGTGTTTAGTCATGCCGGCCACATGACCACGGAAACGTCTTCGGACAGCGCTGGCTCTTCGGCTTTGACACGGAGATGAGCACCGCAACCCTAGAGTCGGATTCGACTGGCTTTCGAGCAAGGGAACCTTTACCTTTACCTATCCCCAAATTAGACTGTCGTGGGGCTTAGATGCTATCTTAAGCAGTTTCCAGTTTGGGCCTAGGATTGTGTTGGAGCTATTCTGACACATGGAGATGGACTCTGTTTGAAATGCCCTTGTACAAAAGGGAAAGCTTCAGCAGAACAATGCCCTCCAACTCACAGTCCCCAACTCCCTGGTCCCCAGTAAGACAAGGATAGTTAAGCATGTCGTCCTTGCCTCAAATTAAATGCTGAAGCAACATCATTCTCATTATTTTAACAAAAGAGAGAAATGCTTGATGAACTTCTTAAAGTCATTAGAGCGCTCGGATGGCTTCTGCTGGAAAGGACGTTCCAGAGTCCACACCGGCAGACCGCAAAGTCCATTCTGAATGAGTTGAATAAACAAGGCGGAACTGTTTTAAGTAAGTATTAACTCTGCAGTAGCAGCTGGGATGCAGATCTGTAAATGATGCCAATTTATACTCCAGTATTCTCAGATAACTATCAGGTATTTTATGGACATGGGCCGGATTCCAAGGTCCTTGTGCGCATGTGCTGATGCACTGAGGGCACAAACACCCCTTGAATAGTTTTACAGGGTAGCTGTGTTGGTCTGCAGCAGGAGAGTTCGATTCGAGTCCCTTATCATCAACAAGATTTTCAGAGTATAAGCTTCAAGAGTCAAAGCTGCCTTTGTCAAATACTGACAGTATCTGAGGAAGGGAATTTTGGCTCTCAAAAGCTTATACACCCCCGCCCGCCCCCCAAAATCTTGTTGGTCACTAAGGTGCCACTGGACTTGTATCTAGCTCCTCCCTTGAATAGGTTGCTTGTATGAACAAAGTTAGGCAGATCATAAGAGGGAAGGCAGGAAGGGTTGCATCAGTGCTTAGTTCTTGTAGCCCTTTCTTGTAGCACAGGGAAATGCTGATCACCACCTTGGTGTCAGGAAGCAATTTTTCTCCAGACCAGTTTGGCTGGAGATCCTAGAGGGGTTTTTGTCATCTTCTGGGTATGGAACAGCGGTCACTTCGGGTGAGGTGGGGAGGTATTTGTGAATTTCCTACATTGTGCAGAGGGTTGGACTAAATGACTCTGGAAGCCCCTTCCAACTCTATGATTCTAAGTTGACAGGGTAAATCACCTGTTCAGGGACAGGGTAAAGTCAAAGTTGGCATCCTTTAGTATGGCAACTCCTGGACCTTCCTGTTGTTAGGGGCAAAATGTGTAGGACTTACAACATCTGTATATACTAGACTGATATGCCTTTCACTGTGTAACTGAAAGCTGGCTGCTATGAGAGAGCTTTCCTGACTAAGGATAGCTCATCTTTTTATTATTATTGTTACTGAGTAGTGATGTGTTTCTCTTCTGTTCAGATTGCCACTTTTACTCTATTATCATTTGCTTTCTCATACTGCCTTTGTGTGTTGTGAACAGAAAAGCGTTTTGTA